CTCCAATCGTGCTGATATTCTTTAATGGTTTTATTTATACTAAATAGAACTAAAACACACTACGTATACTGACTAAATCCAGGGTTTTCGAACAGAACCGATTATGCAATGGTTTCACATACAAAATACTTATACTTCATGATTAGCTTTAGCTAGTCACATGGGGTAGTACTTTTGCATATCACTACAGTTTTCAGTAACGAACATTCATGGTTTTATACGAAATCAATAATGCTACATCTTCATTAAAGAAAATATCGGATTTTCTTGAAAATATACAAACATTTCTGCTAACTCATCAACAAGTTTTCATTACAAACTACTGCTTATGAACTCACCAGCTTTATGCTGATATTTTCAAACTGCTTGTATTCTCAGGAAATCAGTAGACAGGTACCTGCTGGGTTTTTGAGGAGTTGGAGCAATAAGAGTTTAATGTTTATATTCATACAAATTATATGATGTAATCCAAACAAGTTTCTGAAAATTTCTGAATTGATGTAAACATTTTTATTTAAGTATTCAATGTGATGGTTGCGTTGCTATGATTGCTATTATACATTGGTTGTGATGCTATACATGACGTCCTCCACCCCAGAACGTTTCTGCCATTCTGGTTTTGGGGTGTGACACAACGCCCAGTTGACCTGACTCGCCGAGTTGGTCTACCAACTCGTCGAGTCCATGCCCCAATAACCGGATCCAACCCAGTCACCACTCGTCGAGTTCTCCTTCATTCAAACCATCAGGACCATCTTCATCCGACTCGCCGAGTTCTTCCTTCAACTCGGCGAGTTCAACTCCCTCATAAGAACGTGTCTAGTCTATGATTCGCCGAGTTGTATGAACAACTCGTCGGGTCCATCTTCAAAGGTTGGGAGATTGCCTTGGACTCGCCGAGTCTGTTCATACACTCGTCGAGTCCCATGATTCCCAGGTCCCTTTACTAGTCTAAACATTTACGGGACTTCCTTCCCGAACCACTAGTCCAACCACAGAAGGGATTTAGTGGTCGCTACACACCGACTCACCGAGTTCCAATAACAACTCGTCGAGTCCCTTCTTGACCCTTACTATACAGTCGATTTAATTGGGTCTTAACATGTCAAAACCATAGATATGGCCTCCTAATGTCCATTTTATACGTAAAGTTCCAAACTTGGTGCACATGCATGGGGTTTTGGCTTAAAAATCCATAAAAGGTGCTCTACAATGTGCATGGGGCTCTGATGGCCATAGAGTTGGCACCTTTATGCCATGAGACCCCTCCAATGACTCAGATCTGAAAGTAGAACCCAATGAATCACCTCACAAATCCGAAAATGGCTTAGAGAGCCCTAAATGCACCCATAATCTAAGCTCTAAAGATGAACAACCAAATGGAAGACCAAAACAGGGGGCATTTACCTTGATTGAGCTGAAGATGGAATAAGATCTCTGGATCTACAAGCCCCAACTCGAATTCCCAAGCTTCTTCCTTCCTTTCAAGCTTCACAAACCACCCAAAAATGGCCTTAGATCACTCAAAGCGGCTAGGGTTTCGATATGAGGTGTTCTGGGAGCATAAGGGACGATGGAGGTTGCAATAAGACGTTTAAATAGGGTGCAAACCCTCAAATTTAGGGTTTCACCCGAACAGCACCTACTCGCCGAGTCAGTCCCCAACTCGTCGAGTAGATCACTTAAACTTCCCGCGGATCCCGTCTCTACTCGACGAGTTGGGCCATCAACTCGTCGAGTCCCAGAGAAAATAAAATACAAAATTCACAAAGAAAACAAGTTTAAAGGTTTCGTTTGGACCATTTTTCGAGCCATGTTATTATGTTAAAGTTTTTAATTTGTAAGTTTGTTATATACTACTTCTTTATATATATATATATATATATATATATATATATATATATATATTCTTGGTTTAAGTATTTTTTTAAGACAATCATTGTATGTTGTGGTTGAAACTTTAATGTAAATTTGATTAGATTCATGTTATCGATCATATGTTATGAAAAGGGATATAGATAATATTTAATTAAATATTGTATATATGTTTGTATGTTTGTGTTGCTTCAAAGTAATAATTAATTAAAAATCATGGATATGCAATATTATCCATAGTATTCATGTAAGTCTCTTTTAAAATGCAAAATGTCTATCTTATCACTTTATATTTTAGTATATGTTTAACATTTTAATTATAATAATAAGTGTCTTTTAAAAGTTTTCTATCGTTTATTAATAATAATAAGTGGTTTTAAAACTAATTAACCATAATTATAAATAATAAAATCAAATTATAAAAATCATGAATATGTTATATTATTCGTGCAAGTCTCTTTTGAAATGCAAATTGTCTATCTTATCAGTTTATTATTTAGTGTATGTTTCACATTTTAATAGTAATATTAAGTCTTTCTTAAAAGTTTCCTTTAACTTATTAATAATAATAAGTGGTTTAAAACTAAAGAACAATAATTTTAAATGATAATAACATCAATTTATAGATTACATAATGTTAACAACAAATAAATTGTATTTTAAGTTAACATCATTATTGAAATTAGAAAATAACCGCATAAGTAAAAATTTTTAATTAATCAATCATAACAATTATTAAAAATAATATTAAATAGATAATTTTATTTAATTTTATTAATGAGGAATGTGAGTTGATGTTAATGAATAATATTGTTCAAATATTATGTCAAAGTTAATGTCAATAACATAACCAATTTAATCATATATTTTTCAACATTTTAACAATATATTTTTAACCTACGCTGCGCAACGCGCGTGAATTCGTCTTTTATATATATATATATATATATATATATATATATATATATATATATATATATATATATATATATATAAGAGACATTTTTACTTGCACCACATGAATTCGAAACCTCCATGACTTTTCGATTTCTTTCTAATAATTATTGTAAACTGGTTAATAATTTTAAATTAATGCAAAAAATAAATTATAATGATAAATTAACTAAACTACAATATTAAAATATCATATTTTACTTCTATTTATAAAATTATGACTTTAACTTTTTAACATATTATGATTAACTTATTAGTTTAAATATATTGTCGTATGTGAGCAATTCTAATTTTAAAGTCCCAAATTTTGTATAATTTATGATTTTATGCAAAATAGTTAAATTATTGATTTTAATATAATGTTAAACGGTTAACTTAATTCAAAATCTCAGTTACACATGAAAAAAAAACGAGTGGCTATTTTATAAATAGTAAGTTATAAATTATAGTATTAAACCTAATATGTAATCGTCAATTATATATATATATATATATATATATATATATATATATATATATATATATATATATATATAAAACTATTTTTTTATAATCATTAAGAATTTTCAAATAAGTAGCTTAAAAATAACTTTTAATAAGAATAGTTAAAAGTAATATTATATAAAAAATTAAAATGTTATCTTTAAAAACAAAAACAATGTTTGTTGTTTTAAATAATTACATTGAAATAAACTAATAATATTCAACAAATAATTTTTTTAAAAAAAATTAAATTTTTGAAACCAAATTAAAATAATTAAGAGTTTTTAAATACGTTATTTAAATAACTTAAAAGAACAATAGTTAAAAGTAACATTATATACAAAAATGATATTGTTACCTTTGAAAAAACAAAAACAATGTTTGATATTTTAAATAATTACAAAGATAAAAATTAAAATCTTAAGCAAATAAACTTTTTAAAATTAATTAATCATAACAACAACTATAAATATCATTAAACTATATATTATATTTAATTTTATTAATGAATAACCCGCATATAGAGGCCATTGAGACAATTGAGATTATAGAATTTTAAAAGATGTCTACATTATCATATGATTCAAAACAAACAATGTGTATACCAATTTATTGTATGATTTATTATATAAGAGTTAATAACAACGTCATTCATATATTTGAAAAACATATATATGTAAATATTTTAAATATATTGTTATATCCTGCGCAACGCACGAATATTCGTCTAGTATTCTAATAAAAGAATCAAATTGACATGTATCATATTTTCTAATCATCTTTTTAACAAGATAAATTACTAATCTATCTTTTTCCCATTGATTAAATCATAGATACATTTAAATGCTATTAAATGAACAAATTTATTGATTGTTTTGTGAAATATATACTTAATGTCACCTAATATAGGCACCTTTTAGTTGTTGCCTTTATTTTTTTGAGTTTTTTTTTCTTTTATTATTTTCAAAATTTTAATTACAATTTAGAGAACTAAGTTTGTTTCTCTTTTATATTTAACGGTTAGGTTGTTTATTACTAGATATTTTTATTTTAAATTTTTTATTATTTTATAAGTAATAGTATATAGACATAAATAATGTTGCTTATATCTTCAACAAATTGAAAAATTAATTTAAATTAACAATAAACTAAACATCAAAGTTGTTTTACGGTTCTCCGGTACATGTGTTATTAATTAGCATATATATATATATATATATATATATATATATATATATATATATATATTAATAAAATAGTAAAACATATAGGAAAATACTTGTTTTCTTTATCACAATATCATGATTCATGAATAGCATGAGCATATATGGTTATTATCTTGCCACTATTATCAATTATTTCAAATGATTTGACATTGTCAAATGTCATGTAATGCTTATGGATTTATGGTAAAGTAACACACTTTATTATCTTTTAGTATTTAGTATTTGCTTTTATAATTTATAGGTATAGTTATTATTTTAAACAAAAAAAACGTCAAATTATAATATATATATATATATATATATATATATATAATTATATAGTTACAAATTCGAAATTCTGAATTTAATTATTTATATATGAGAACAAAATTAATTTAAAAACAAGCATCAGCATGCTTCCGAGATGAACAACAACCAACAACTATACATATACTTGACTTGTATCCATAACTTTACATATACAGTTCATCGTATCTACCTTTTTAAAGAATCAAACCGCTTTTCAATTTTGATAATTAATGTCAGAGAAGCCTCTCAGTGGACGGATTCCGGTTAAACGGAGCATCAAACCTCCACATCCTCCTTCGTCTACTCACAAACTTCGCCGGCGAGTAGTAGTTCGTCGATCGTCAAAGAAGCCATTGAAATCCGTTAACAGATGCAACTCGGAGCCTGCTTTGCTGACCGGCGTTCTCTCCAATGATTTTCGTGAATCGACGGAGGATCACGGCGGACTGATTTTACAACGTCGGGCTCGTGCAGACGTCTTCTTGTCGTCGCCGGAATTGGTGTTGCCTTATTCTCCGCCAAAAATTGAGGTAACGGAAATCGGTAACTTGATACTTTTCGCTTCGGTTTGGTTGATGATTCACGCTTCGATGATCTCTGACTTCATAGCCAAAAATATTACTAATCTGATTTTGAGATAAATTCAATTAATGTTTGATACGATGATAGCATTGAATAATTGATGATCAACATCAATTTGCGTATATCGGGTTTTCGTTGTACTATTTGAAAACCAATCGTGATAATTGGGGATAGAATTAAAACGCAGGGATACAATAAAGAAGCGAAGGTAGTGGTGAATGTAACAGTTGAAGGAAGCTCAGGACCAATTCTAGCAATGGTGAAATTGGGTTCAAGTGTGGAGGAAACAATGAAGATGGTGAAGAAACAGTATGATTCAGAAGGCAGAAGCCCTCAAATTGATCAACACTCCATTTCAAGCTTTGAACTTCACCCTTCTCATTTCAGTCTTAAAAGTAAGTAAATTTCTTCTTTCATTTTTATGTTTAGATGAATTTTATTGAGTATATTTGTTTGTATATAGGTTTAGATAAGTCAGAGATGATTGGAGATATTGGTAGCAGGAGTTTTTACATGCGTAAATGTAAGGAAGACAACTCCTTCACAGGATCAGAGATTATTGTAACAATGGAGAACAATTCTTCAACTCCAACTCCTATCATCGTCTTTCCCAATTTTATTTCTCAAAATTTCAAGAAAGTTATAAGATTGTCGAGCAAGGTTTGGAAGATCTTGGGTTGTATTGATGGGTGATTTTTTTAACTATAATAAGCTTAGATCCTTTGTAAGTAGAATATTATGACCCTCTATAAACATTGTTAAAAGAAAAAAAAAATGGATTGGGACGCTGATGAAATTAATAATGTAACATCTTGATGTGTAAAGAATAGAGAATGGAAATAATTTTTAGGTCTCAACATTCTCAAAAACAATCTATTAATAATTAATCTAGTGGAAGTCTAATGCTCATGCAAGAAGGCCTATTAAAAAGGTACCCATCATGTCGGGATAATAGTTGGGTTAAACCCATCACATGTTGGGCCTAAATGTTGTAAAAATCTGGATGATCCAAGTATAAACCTTAAAAACTGTCAAACAGAGCAGTCATTAAAGTTTTTTTAGCTAAGTTTTTGTAAGTCATCTCAATAACATATCATGGTACCTCAACAAAATATAAAACTCAGAATAGCTCCTTACCACAAAAAGAAAGTTTTTGATTAAGGTTTTTCATAAATTAAAAATAATAAAAGATATATATGGTCCCATGAAAATGATTAGATAAGTTCTTAATTAAGTTTTTTTTTATTGGCTAGAAAGTTATGGGCCCAACTAAAATATTGAAAAAGCTATCCCCAATAGCTCGTTAATTAACTACAACTACATGCTTTTTCAATTGAAATAAATAAATAAATCTTATTGTGGATACTTTGTACTTGTACTTGCATGGTGGCAAGTATGAAGTGTCTCCTCTGCGCATAGGCCACTTGGTTTTGGACCCCCTTATTTGTGCTTCATCGTGAATGAAAATGGTTGAAGTGATTTGATCAACTTTGCATAACGGGTGTTCTAACTTATTTATCAAGTTCATAGATTTGAAGGTCTTATGATCCTTGCCTCGTTGCCTCGTTATCACAAGTGTGCCTCTCATCAAGGTGGTGATTTTGGCTACGCTTCATTAGTGTTTCGTTACTATTTCTTTCTCCTCAAGATCGCCATACTAGAGTTCTAACCTTAATTTTGTAGTCGAATTACTATTGCATGAAGATCAAGTACCACGTATGTAGACAGATAGAGATGATAATTTCACCTCTTCCAGTTAATGGATATTTAACCATACAATAGCTGGTTTAGCACCTCAATCTATGTTGGTTAATGTTATGTTTTAATTGTATACAAGTTGGTTTATAATATTTTTACACGTTGTTCATAATTGTTATGACTTAATCAAAGACCAATAGTTGTATATGAGACAATAGATACTACTATTTTAATGTAATAATAATATGTTAAAATTTTAATTTTGTACAAATGAAGTTTAGAGCAAAGGTTTGCAAAACCGAAAGAATTAAATGAAATCAAGAGGTTTGGTCAACATTTAGCATTTGGCACACATTTATTCAGGGTCGTCCATACGTGGTTATGATTCGACCCCTTGATGACAAGACTACAGTTTTTAGGGTCATGCCAATGGGTGGGCCAGGGCGATGGCCCAGGGCCTCCAAATTCCTAAGGTTTCATTTTTGTATACCTTATATGTTAGTATAGAAAAAAAAAACTCTGATATATCGTGTATAGTGGCTCAGCGGAAAAAGAAAAGAAAATAGAGCAAAAAACAAAACCAGTTGCGATTCTTCTAAAATAATTATCGTATTTTGTCTCTCACCACCATCGATCAAATGACTCTATGAATCAGATTTGATTTTTTCTACAATAACAAACGATTCATTATGAATCGATTATGGTTTTTCACACAATAGAAGATTTCTTATTTTAATTTTTGTTTTCTGGTTTATGATTTCAATCTTTCTTAACACATCGATTTTGATACTCTGATTTAATACATCCTTCAAAAAAATCGATATTATATTCATGTTAATCTAATTTCAGGATATCTCACGGATTCTGATTTTTTAATTATGGCACGTGTTAATCTAGTTTTTGATTCATATCTAGGATTTTGTTATTGTTCTCCAATCCATTCATGTTAGGTTTTTTTTTCTTTTTTTTTCTTTTTTTTAATAAAAGCTTATTTATGTGTTTTTTGCTGATATTCTTAATGATAAATAAATACTATAATAAACTATGTGTTTTGACTTTTGAATATTTGATGCCTAATACTAATAGAATGTGATCTTTGTGTTTGTTTGGTTATATGTCGACACGATCGTTTTGATGTTTTTGGATGTATTTTTAATTTATTGTAATTTTGTTTAAAGAAGATATGGTCAAAAAGGCGATCCAAAAAGCTTGAGTTTATTTTTTGACAAAATTGCAAAATTGGTCACTGTGGTTGGTAAAATTATGCAGTTTCGATCCAAAAAGTTTTGGCGATGCACCAGTGGTCCAACATTGGATCTTTTTATTAGTTTTGGTCCCTATACACTTAAAAAGACGATTATGCCCTTATAATTTATATTTTTCATTTTTTTAATTACTAAAAGACATAAATTAATTGTAAAAATGGTCCCTTCATCTCCAACTTCACCCTCTAACACCGTTGTTTTGAACCACCTTCAACAGCCGACATTCTCGTTGGAGTTCACCCAAATCACCACCACCACCTCTACCATAGATCTCAAATTCCCCATCCACACTGGCCTCTCTCCTCCTGTTTTGCTGGAATCAAACTCCTCCTCCAATTAAAATCACCACAACTACCTGTCGCACCACCTGTAATCATCGTCAAAGCTCACCACCATTAAAACCGCCATCAATCATCTAACCCGCTACACCAAAAAACAAGATCCTTATGTCACTGAATTACAACGACACTGGAAACAAAAACCTTCATCGCATCCACATCCTCCATCGCCATCTGTTAAGCCTCACACACCACCATAAACCTCCACCATTCCACTAAAAACACTCCTTCCACCATCGAGCATCACCTCAGTTGAAAACCACAACAGAGCAACACCTCATATAGTCTCCTACAAACGACATCGGTGGGGTTATGGACTGATTTGATTGGATCAGAGCAGACCTGTGAGAGAGAGGGAGGGGAAAAGTGGTGACGCGGTCGGTGGCTACAGTTGAAAACTGACATCAATGGAGGTCTAAAACTTTTGGGTTTTAACAGGATTTGGCGGAGGTAGTGTGCAGCAGCAATTAGATCGATTCTCCGGTTGTTGAGCCACGACCTCCTTCGGTCTCGTAGATGTTGATGGAAGACGGAGGTAACATGGAGTTGATTTTTTTTTTTGGATTTTCCATGACAGATCAGGTGGTGGTGTCCGACGGAAATGAAAAGAAAGAGAGAGATGTTGATCGGAGATGGGGAAGTGTAACATCCCAAGTTTGGAAGCAAGAAGTTGGAGGGTGCAAAGTGTAAATTTAGGAAAGGGACTCGACGAGTAGGTCCGTCTACTCGCCGAGTCGGAGCGGGATTCTATCAGGGTTTAAGTGGCCAACTCGCCGAGTCGGAGACTTGGACTCGACGAGTTGGTGTTGTAGGAAGAAAACCCTAATCCCGAGGGTTGCACCCTATTTAAAGGACTTTATGTCCTTCTCCCAGCCTCCTAATCCCCCTGAGAGTTCCAGAAACCCTAATTTTCGTGTGAGGCTTCATTATTGAGGAGATTGGAGCTTGGAAGAGGAAATTGGTGAAAAGAGCTTGAGGAATTAAAGGCTAACATCAAGGGGCTTGTGTGGATCTGGGATCTACATCTGTTTGGGCACATTTCATAGGTAAAAAGCCATAATCTTATGCTGATTTCCTTTTTGGTTCATCCTTGGTGGTTGATGTGGAGTTCCATAGCTTGTTTGTGAGCTATTTCGAGTTAGAAGCTTAGATCTGAGGTCTGGCCCCAAGTATTGATCATGAGTAAATATGTCTACATGCAATAGTAATCGATATGGTCTGGCCCCAAGTATTGATCATGATGATGGAGATGGCTGGAGGCCGTGTGTGGGCCTTGTTAGTTATGTGATCGGATTCAGAGTATATGGGAGTTGGAGAATAACGGTTGCTCTACATGGATAGTGTAGAGTGGAGTTTAGCTCTGTGGCACTTATAGGTGCGGTAAGGGTTGTTGAGTAGACTTCCTGGAAAGGGAAGGTATGTAGCTCCGGAAGGAGCGTGGGTCATCCGAGGGGAAGGTAGCAGAGTAAATGGATGATCGAAAGTGCTTGGTAGCAAGCACTGGGATTGTACCAGATATATGGAAGCACATACGGGTTGGATGCCCGTTGAGGTTGTGGAAATGTTGGATGATGCGCATGCATGTTTTCGGTCTCCTTGGAAGAGGAGAAGGAAATGGATTCCCGATTGGAGATTAGGACAGAGGAAGGTGAGACAGCAGGTTAACAGACTCGAGAGTAGTCTGGACCGGTGCTGAGGACTGCATAAGGATATTACAGTCGGAGGTCAAGGACCTAGAGATCGTGATAGGGAGGTGTGAGTGGATTGCACTCCGTTGTGTCGAACCAAAGGGTTCGAGGTTGACGCAAGGACAAGGTCCTTGGTTCCGAGTATGGTTGTAGGCTTGAGTTGTGTATGAGGAGGTATTTCAATCTGGGGTATTCCATCATGAGGATGATCGGACCCTATGATTGATTGGACCTGGTGTGTTGGTATTCCAGCCCGAGGCTGATTAGGCCAGGTACGAGTGGTTACGCGATATGATTGGTTGATGGGTTACGGGAGCTGAGGGATGTAGTATCCTGTCAGCGCGTAAGGGATAGAACCAGAGGGTGGAACCGGATTTGTTCCGGGTTGCGAGTTATCAGGGTTATCGCCAACTTTGGGCGAAGGAAGATGGATTAGTGTCTCAACAGAGTTCAGTGTGTGATTGTGGTAGCTAGTGCTAGCAGGGCGCGGAGGTACGTCCCTGATATGAAGGGATAGTGTCATCGGGTGATACGTGGTGCTATTGAGTTGAAAGGACAATGGTCGGCTTGGAGTAGTGGCAAGGATGCCACGCGAGAAGAAGTCGTTAGAAGAGAGATGCGGTAATAGGGTTTGCAAGAACCTGAGTTAAATGAGAAATCGAAGTCTGCAGTACAAGGGGTTTGTTCTGAAGCGTATACTGCAGTAGGCTTCGAGGACGAAGCCTAATTTAAGTGGGGGAGAATTGTAACATCCCAAGTTCGAAAGCAAGAAGTTGGAGGGTGCAAAATGTAAATTTAGGAAAGGGACTCGACGAGTAGGTCCGTCTACTCGCCGAGTCGGAGCGGGATTCTATCAGGGTTTAAGTGGCCAACTCGCCGAGTCGGAGACTTGGACTCGACGAGTTGGTGCTGTAGGAAGAAAACCCTAATCCCGAGGGTTGCACCCTATTTAAAGGACTTTATGTCCTTCTCCCAGCCTCCTAATCCCCCTGAGAGTTCCAGAAACCCTAATTTTCGTGTGAGGCTTCATTATTGAGGAGATTGGAGCTTGGAAGAGGAAATTGGTGAAAAGAGCTTGAGGAATTAAAGGCTAACATCAAGGGGCTTGTGTGGATCTGGGATCTACATCTGTTTGGGCACATTTCAGAGGTAAAAAGCCATAATCTTATGTTGATTTCCTTTTTGGTTCATCCTTGGTGGTTGATGTGGAGTTCCATAGCTTGTTTGTGAGCTATTTCGAGTTAGAAGCTTAGATCTGAGGTTGCTACTTCAGATCTAGAATTGTGTTGGTCCAGAAAGTCATAAAGCATCAGTCTTTGAGTTGTTGGTGAAGCCCCTTTGTCATAAACCCTAGCCCTATAGTGTTTTGGACTTATATCCCCTTGGTTTCACGTAAAGTTTGCAACTTTATGTGAGGGTTAGGCTGTAGAAGAGTGGATCTATGGATTGGAGCCTCTGCATGGCTCGAAAAGCCTCTGTATGGATTGAGAACTGAAGGGACTCGGCGAGTCACATGGGTGTACTCGACGAGTCGTATGAACATGTGCATGGACTCGGCGAGTCTGTTGAAGATTGTCTTGGACTCGGCGAGTCTGTTCTTGGACTCGACGAGTCTGGTCGCAGAACCCCAATCTTTTCTGGTTAAACCTTGAAGCAGTGAGTCGGGAGTGACTCGGTGAGTTGAGCAGGATGGGACTTGGAGATCGTTGGACTCGATGAGTCTTGGGGTGACTCGGCGAGTAGAGTCGTGTTATGGGAGTTTCTGAGTATAGGGACTCGGCGAGTAGAGTTAGTCAGGGAGGTTGACTTTGACTGAGGACTTTGACTTTGACCAAGAGTTGACCAGTTTGTCTACCAAGGGTATTTTGGTGATTTAGGTATTTATGGAATTGGTTCTTTGGTAGTGTTCGGTGGTGGAGTTCGTGTCGGTGGTCGGAGCAGCCGATCTTATCCTTTTAGTCGGCAATTTCAGGTGAGTTATCCTCACTATATCGACAGGGTCTACGGCACCAAGGTCGGCCCTTTATCGGATGGAAATCCGGATATTGTTTGTTATGTTATTGCTTTGCTAGATCTGCATCCTGGTATTTAGGATGGTGTTATGTTAGTGACCTGGTTAAGGTCGGTACCCGGTATATAGGGTAAGGATATGCTAGTGACCGGTTAGGTCGGAATCCTGGTTAGGATGTTGATATGCTATGTGATCTGTTAGACTGTTTGTCTGGTTAAGGGTTGTTATGTGATTAGTTGTTTTATGTGCACATGGTTGTTTGACGGGGGTTGGGTTGAGGCGGGTCCTGCTTTGTGCTGTAGGCCAACATACCCAGGGCGGACCGGATATTCCGAAGGCCCAACGAGCGGTCCGGATAGGCTGAAGGCCCCAAGAGGGCGGACCAGACGTGCCGAGGCTCGGAGAGTGGATCAGGCCGACTGAAGGCCCGGTGTGGGCGGACCAGTCATACTGTAGACTCAGAGAGTGGACCAGGTGGATTGAAGGCCCGGTGCGGGCGGACCAATCACACTGTAGACTCGATGTACATGGCTAGACTCGGAGGGTGGACCAGGTGGACTGAAGGCCCGGTGCGGGTGGACCAGGTGGACTGAAGGCCCGGTGCGGGCGGACCAGTCACACAGTGGACCTGATGTGCGTGGCTGTTCTATTTGTGATATGTTATGAGTATGTTTATGTGTGGTTGGTATTTTGGGGGTAACTCACTAAGCTTTCGGGCTTACAGTTGTAGTGTTATGTTTCAGGTACTTCAGGAGATTGTGGCAAGGCGAAGGCGTGATCGTACCGCTCCTCATGTTTTATGATTTATATGATATGGTTATGGGGGATACTCTGATAATAAACTATTTTGAAAACGAGATGTATGAAGTTAATGGTTTTTGAATGAATTAAAATGTTTTAATTTGGCTCAATTTTTATGGGTGTTACAGGAAGAGAGAAAGAGGATAGGTGGGTTAGTAGGGGGTGATATTTTTTTAATTAAAATTAATTAGAAAAGAATTAATAAAGGGCATATTCATCATTTCAGGTTGGCTATGGACCAAAATAACACAAAAATGCCAACCATAGGGACCAAAACCACACATGGTATCCGAAATTAGACCACCGATGCATCACCAAACTTTTTTGGACCAAAACCGTATAATTTTGCTAACCACATGGACCATTTTTACAATTTTGTCTTTTTTTTAAGCATGTGTTTTTGTAATAGCTTTTTAGACCGTCTTATAAAAAAAATCTAAGTTTTATGTTCTAATGGAAGATCAAATGTCTATTATATAAATAAAAATAATAATAATAATAATTCTACCTCGCTCATTAGTTAGTATAGATACCGTACATTATTTTGTGCCTTATGAATGTGTTCATTTGTTTCTATTTTATGATTAATATTAGGGAAATTTATTTATTAAGATAATTAACTTTTCGGTTTGTTCATATTTGAATAACTATTTTTTTGTAAATATCTAGGTAACGAAGTTTTTGAAAGCGTTCACTTATGATCGTTATGACCGGCTGTATCAGGTCACATCCGGTCATAATGGTCATATGTGAACAATTTCAACAAGGTCGTTATCTAGATGTGTATAAAAAAAGAAGTTATCCAAATATGAACAAAACAAAAAGGTAAAAGTAAATTACACGAATGGTCCCTATGGTTTGGGGTAATTTGTGTGTTTGATCCCTAAATTATTTTTTTAACTCAGATGGTCCCTAATGTTTATTTTTGTCGCGCTTGGTCAATGTCCTACCTGAAAAGACTATTGTGCCCTTATTAATTTATTTTTTAATTAATTTTTTAATTTAAATATTTATTTTTTATATATTTAAAAAAATTAATAGACCCCACATATCTGTAACTTCTCACCCTAAACCTGAAACCACATTGAGAAATTTAATTTGGGTTCCACCGTCACCATCCCATCTCTCATCCTCCTAAATTTTTATTTCATTTCCATCTTTAGTGGCATCGACGTTTTCACCATCTCTTCTTTTTTCGGTCCTTCAACTCCGACGAACCAACACAACAACCCACTGTCTCTTCATCGAATTTTTCACCACCACAACCCAATACATCACAATCATTACAGGAAAAGAAAATTGATGCCAGAAAGAAAAATTGGAGAACCAGATCAACTGAAAACCATAACTTGAAATGTAAATCAAAACCTGAAACTCTATTAACACCATACAAACTAGACTATTTCTATTATTTGGTCTCAAGAGTATTAAGTTTTACTTGGATGGGTTCGGTTCCATTTATTTGATTAGTTTTTCTCTAAAAATGAACATGCCCTCAAAAATCCGGTTCTTCAAAAACCGAAAAAATGGTTTGCAAAAACTCACATTATTCAACACAGTCAAATTATAAAAAAATGATTTTTTGAGAACAAAAGAGTCATTTGTAAAAAATACAGAAAAAACCCTAACAAAATAGTGACTTTAATTTATATATATATATAAATTTGAAAAAAAAATACAGAAAATATAAAATCACTATATTTTGCCAAAATTTAGTGTAACCATCAATTTTTTAAATTACTTGGTTGATCGGTATTTACAGGTAATAACTTTATTCTAAAATGATTTTTTTTTTAACCGGCAAATCTAATCTACTCCTAAGCTAACAACATCTATTCCACCTATGTCCACGACGAGACTTGAACCCTCGACCTCAAAGAGGAAGAACACCACCTGATACCGCTGGACTACAAACCCTTTGGTTATTCTAAAATGAATACCTTTTAAAAAAACACACTAAAATTAGTTAGTTAAATCGAAAAAACCAATAAAGCACACTATTTTTTTGTACATATATTTTATATTTTTTATGTTATTAACTGTAATCTAAAATAATAGAGGGAATCAAAACAGACAACTTATGACGTTGAGGGTGCAAATTGTCAACTCATAGCTTTATTCATTCTCCCTGATTAAATATAACTATAGATACAGAATGTGTATGTAGAACAAGAGAGCACCCGGAGACAGAGAAAGAAAGAGCGGAAGAAGAGGAGAGAGATGGGGGAGATAATTACATGGCTACTGTTCTTCTTCATCCACATAGCTCTCCTTGTTGTAGTTGTTTATCAGGTAAATCCTCGTAACTTTACCGTTTTTACTTCTTCTTTTTTTTTTTAATGTGTTTATGTTTGTAATCATGTAGAATCTACAATTCGTGATCTGTAACTGCTTTATCTTTTACCAAGTCTTGATTTTTCGATCATTTTTGAACTAATTATAACCAATTGCGCCCTTGGATTTCCTCAATTTGTCAAATTGCGAAATTAGGGTTCTTGTGAAATCTGATTTTTGGATTGAAATATTCATCTGCAATTCACATTTATAGGATTGTACGATTACCCTATTAGTGGCTTTGATTGCTTGTTTTTGAAGCATACCCTGCTTTTAACCCTTTTTGGCTTTGAGCAATCACAATTTTCTTGAAGTTCCAGTTGCATTGTTTGTAGTAAAAAAGTACCAATTTTTGAACTTTTTAAACCATCGTACTAGGTTTTGCATTGTCAACCTAATCCAATTTTGTAAAAATTTCAAAAAGAAACTATATTTTGTAAAAATTTTGATCCGTGTGTATATATGTGTTAGCTTGAATATGTACTACATTTAATCTATCAATCAGCATTAAGATTTATAGGGTTCAGAATGGTTCCGACTGTAAATATGTTTTGTTTTTTTATTTTTTTTGCAGCTTATGTGCTTAGCGGATTTAGAGTTTGATTACATTAATCCTTATGATTCTGCATCTCGCATAAACTTTGTGATATTACCAGAATTTATTACACATGGAGTTTTATGCTTAATATATCTTTTCACTGGGCATTGGGTGATGGTCTTACTTGGTTTGCCATATCTTTACTACAATGTTCGATTGTAAGTCTTCTTCTTAATATAATATCACAATTGCTTCCATTTCTCTACCCAATCAAATGGGATCATGGAATGTAATCACTCATTCCATTCCATCCAAGATCCAACCAAAGATGCCATTATTCCAAGGGCAAAATGGTCATGTGTATAATTATTTTTACTAGGTACACTCGGAAGCAACATCTTGTGGATGTCACAGAGATCTTTAACCACCTAAGCTGGGAAAAAAAGCAACGGCTTTTCAAACTTGGATACCTTATATTTCTCCTCTTCATCACCTTATTTTGGTAAATAATACGAGTACAAACATGATGAATACAATTTACCATTTTGTCCTTTACTTGGATATCTTGTGACCCTTTTTTTGTTCATTGCAGGATGATCTATAATGCATTGGAAGATGATGAAATGTAGGGTCTTGAAGGTCAACCAGATGCACCAAAGTTGAAAGAAGGTGCCCTCACATACTTAGGTTTAGATTGTGACACTAGCTCTTCACTTATAATTTTATAAAAAATCATTTATCGTCTTCACGAGTTATTTAACAATTTGCTACTATTCGTGTTTGTTGTATTATTAGCATTATCTTGCATTTGTTTTATTTCAAGGAATGCAGAAATAGAGTTCTTTCTTTAGAATTATGTTAGAGGATTGGGTTGTCATGTCGTTGATTTTTTGTGAATTTTTATTGGATAATGGTTTTTTGTGATCTATTATCTATTGATAAAGATGGAATGTTGTAGGAGTTTTTAATTTTTGGGATGTTAAATATTGATTGTTGTTTTATTGATGATTTCTGGTTTGACATGGCAATGATAATAAAGAATAGAATGTATATTTATGCAACGAATTTATATTTCTTCTATCAATTTATGTCGAGTAGAAAGTTCCTAGCAAGTTTGGCAATATGTTTCAATTTTGTTACAAATTCTATATCACCAATTTATGTGATATAATTACTTGGTTGGTTAAAATCATGACAATTTGTGTGGTAAAACCTAATTTTATTTATCTATTTGTGCATTCCTATATTATTTGGTTGGTTATATCTCATTTTGACGAGGAGTAATAATTTCAATGCCAATTAAGAGAGTTTTTGCGATTGTTTTTTGATATAGTTTACTACTTATTGTTTTTTTTTTAAAGCCAATAAGTTAAAAATATGTTTGGGTATAAGAAAAGTTACTCTTGAAATGACTTTTTGTGAAGGTATAAACAACAAGAACCCTTAAGTAAGGAAGAGTTGGCTTTTTGAATAGCCTTTAAGCAATAATAACAATTTAAACGACATTTAAGATGGTGTTTGGGTTTGCTTCTTGAAATCTTTATTAATTTATTAGTTTTTAAAAAAAAGCTAATTAATTAAAAAAGTATCCCTGTATTAAAAATACTTCTTAAAATGGTTTTTTTGTGAAGATATAGAAAACAAAAATTGATAAGCAAAAAAAAAAGTAAATTACCTTTATACCCTCAAACCACCTTTAACCCTTTCTCGACACACAACAGTCTCTCTCTCGTTCTTCGCCAACGTCACCACAGCTGCAAAGGCTTCTCCGATCTTCCACGCCGGCGACCCTCCTCCGATCTCCGCTCCAGAACACCGCTGCCGGCACCGGCCACTGCTACGTCTCCGTAAGTCCCACCTCCTAGATCGATAAGCACATGATTTTTTTGTTTATTTTTGAATCTTTGAACTCAATTCTTGTATTATTTCTGTTATCTGGTTCCTAGCGGGTGTGCAAAATTTCTGGTTCGGTTCGTTATACACGTTTAGAGGGTATTTGGGATTTGCATATTTAACTCCAAATTCCTTGTCGCGATTGTTAATATCTTCATCTACAAGTCTAGGGTTTCTAATTGATTCTCATTTTTGAAAGTCTAGGGTTCATGAATACATTTGTTTATATCAACTGTCAGTTTGTCACTTTAATTGTGTTTACAAAGATGACAATTATGCATCCTGGTAGTATGCTCGTTAGATACCACTGAATTTCTTTTTTTGGTTTAGTACTCACTCCAATGATGTAAAATTATACTCCTTTCCTTTCCACATGGTTATTTCAGTAATTTGAGTTCTAGGTATTACGTCAAAGTTATGGCACTTACACAGTTGTGAAAGCTATAGAACATTTAGCTGTGCACTTATATAATTTCATAAATTTTGTGATGTGTTCAAATTTATTATGGCACTTACACATGCTAGTTTCTTGGCCTCTAAGAATTTAGCATTTGTACGAAATTTATTTGTCTGATAAAATCAAGTTTGCATTGGTTTAATTTTGCAGTGAAATCATGGTACATGCAGCCAAAGGAGTATTTATCTCATGGTAAGTCGCTTAATCTTTTTGCACAAATGGTTGGATTGTGCGTTACTCTCTAAAAATGGTTTTTCATTTGTTGTTATTGCAGTGACATACCAATGGCTCAATTCATAATAAATTACAACGCTTCATTGCCACAATCACAAAAGTTCATTATACACATTTTGGATGGAACTCATCTGTTTGTAAGCAGTGGTATGGAAGGCATGATAAGAAGTGCCATACAAGAGTTCAGAGAGAAGAACACATATGAGAAACCTGCTTGATTCTTCATTCATTATAATACACAATTTTGGATTTGGATAGAACTCTTCCTTCTCAGTTTCCAACATGTAAACGCCTTTTTATATATAACAAATTAGCAATCACAAAATTTCAAAAATGGTCCATGTGGTTTCCGAAAAGTGGCACTTTCAGGACTTTTTTGGAAATCAAGCACGGTTAGAGCCTTTTTGGCTTGGGGTTAAATACTTGTGATCATTTCCATAACAGTATGCTCGAACTCAAGCTTTTGATCATTTGATTGTATTGATTTAATATTGTTACGTAACAAATAGAAACATAAAAACTAACTTTTTGATAAAACTAGATTATGACCCGCGTTAAACGCGGGGAACGCATAAATAAAATACAAATTTATATAGATATTACAGAATAATTATAAAAAAAAGCAGGGTTATTGGTATTATTGAAATGTGTAGAAATTACACTAAAATCGGTAAATATATATAGTCGTTGAAGGATCTTTTTATAGACAACATTTTTTGTTTTATTAGTTCAATGACCTTGCTCGTCACATATAAGTACCTTCAAACATTTTTTACTTGTGACACGGAAAAGAACTATATATAGCCAACCATGCGTGAAAATGGGTCTACACAAGTATAATCAACATTTGACAATGTACTTTCAAAATACATTGTTATTTTATAGTTATATTGCGAATTAGAACTGTTTATTTCAAAAAATAGCAACTTATTTATGTTCTTTCAAAATGAACCACATAAAACCCCCACAATATTAAATATAAAGAAACTCTAACCAATAAATCTGCAATGAAGCTGATCATCTCCTTCCACTTCGTCTCTCATATTAGGTCTTTTTTTCCTTAATCTGAGTTATTGTAACTATCATCGACAATGTTAAGATTTATTAATGGTTTCTTTTTTATTTTAGGGATAATATGACAAAAATCATCATTTATGTTTATATCTTCATTTTTTTGTTGATTTTGATATGTCTTCTTCGGTTTACCATCATCTTTTATTTCAGGCTCTTTTTTTATGAAATAACATTTTTTTTTGTGAAATTCGTTCTATGGTTTTGAGTATGTGCAGGTACGTTGATTTTTTTGAAGTAAAGAAAGTAGGGTTTTTGTTCGATGTTGGATCCTAGGTTTGGTTCTTATTTTTTGTGATTTCTCATGATCCATTGCTTTTTATTTTCCATCTTTATCTACAATCTTTATGTATATAACACTTTATCCATATAGTCATTCACTACAGAGTTTAATGAAGGAAAAAAGAAACATCCCCTTAGTTTTATTTACTTTGCAGATTATCGAGCCTCCATGCAAAACTTACAACATAATGAAAAAAACAAAAAACCCTTATGAGGTAAATGCCAATTACGATTCTACCCCTTTTCCTCTTGTAACAATTATCTCACTTCAAAACTTCAAAACATATGTTTTTGTGTTACAACATATTATTGATAGCATGAAAGATCCAAGTATTGTTGCATTTTGGTTAATCACAATGCCTCAAATTATGGGAGGATTTAAATATGATGATGAGGTCAAACATAAAATATGGTGGTAATACAAGGTTATTCTTCTTCTTATTTATTTATTTACTTATTTTTTAATTCAACTTTATTACGAAATTAAATAGCTTCTTTTGTTGATATTAGTGTTTCTTATTTAGAAAAATATGCGATATGATCAACTTCGTGATGCTGCAGCAATGAGAAAACTTGGATGAGCAAGAAGCGAGATAAATTTATAATTTATTAACTTCAATGAGAAATTAATTAATTACAGTTTTGTTATTGAATTTGAAATACAACAGGGATTATATCAATGGATTCTAAAGGTGCAAGAAATGATCCAGTGGTAGTAAAGAACATTCCTTACTACAAAGCAAAGAGCAAATTAGAGGCAGAAGTGATGAAGCTCAATCCACCACCATGACCTCAAAACGGGGGGGGGGGGGGGGGGATCAGTATAAACAAATATTTTTTCATTTATTTTTAGTAAATTACATATTTGGTCCCTGTATTTAGTTGACTTTTTCAATTTTGGTCCCTAAAAGAATTAAGTTGCAGTTTTTGAACATTGTTTCACTGTTTCGTAAAACTTTTATGATTGCCTAAGTTAACAGTATAATTGTTAGTATTTTTTTAGAATGACCATTTTGCTCTTGGACCAAAACTAAAAAAAAAAAAAAAAAGTATAGCACAACAACAAATTTTATATTTTTCTTTTTTTTTTACTTATGTTTAGAGTAGATTACATTTTTGGTCCTTGAGTATACCTAATTTTTTCAAAAGGTTCTGAGGGGCGTTTTTGGTATTTCAGGGTCAAATGCTGACTCTAGTTGAGTACACACTTCTATTATACCGTGCATTCTTACCTGCCCATGTATGGTACCAATTCTTTTTGAACAAAGAATATGGGAGCCTATTTTCATCTTTGACAACATGCTTATATTTAACTTTAAAGCTCACATCAATTGTTGAGAAGGTATATTTCTTATTCTTATTCTGTTACTACCGGAGACGTAAGAAAACTTTCTAATGAGGGCGTTCATGTCTTTTGTACAACCCGTCTATTATACTATGTCATGTCCTCTCTTGTCTTGTCTATTGTTTTTTTACAAAGGTATACACACATGTAACATCATAATTTCATTATATATAACATCTAAGTTTAACATTGAGTTTAATGTTTTCGAAAATAGGATCATAGTTACCGATTAAAAAGATGGAACCAAGAACCAAACACAACATCAAAAAAAAAAATCGAAAACAACATTATACATCCAAATTATAAGTATTCAACAAAGAACCATACGAATGAGTAAAAACATATAAATTCGAAAAACAATATCAAACTTACAGATTAAAATGATTTAAGGAAGAAGTACATAGACTTATTCGACTAATCAGACTGATGAGAAGGTTGAAGTTTTTTTGCTTTTGTTTTCTGCGGAGGAATTATGACAGAATGTTTGTGTAAATCGATTATTAAAAAGGTTTGAAATATATATACAAGTCAATATGATGAAAATTAGCAGGTAATCAATTGAAATCCCATTTAAACTTAAAATAGAAGATATCATGCTTGAAAGTCTATTGGTTCCAGGGACGGACGCAGGATTTGGTAGTAGGTGTTGCCCGTAAGTAGAAAAAAGAAAAAAAATTGAAAAAAATCGAAAAATTTACACTGCGTACAGAAAAAGCAGGGGTTGCCGGTGCCACTGCAGGCACCCAAAGAGAACCGTCCCTGATTGGTTCATAATAATATCCGAAACTTTTGAAATTTGAACTTAATAGTTTCCAAGATTTCAACATATAATATATTTGGAAAGCAATTTTAAATGAAAATAGAGCCTAAATTTAAAGTTTACATTAATAAGGAACCAAATTTGTAATTATAAGTTTGGAAAGAATACAAGTATCATTTTCATTCAATTCCTACATTTAATTTCCTAATATAACGAATGAAAATTAATATTAGTAACGGAATCTGATTTTGAAAACTTTAAAATCATCGCATAAGGCTTCAAAACAAACGGGTTGACTTCTTGTTTGATCAAGGTGACGTAAGCAAATTGATCTAAGGGTGTAAAACCTATAAAGAAAACACAATCAACAGCCCAGATTGTTTTAAATGATGTTATAAGGTTTCTCTTTTAATAATATTTAGAGATGGTTTATTTTCTAAAAAGAAGGTAAATCGAAAATTGGTTTTAGATTATAAACCACTTTAAATATATTTTTAATGATAAACACAAATTGTTTAAAACTGATTTTTAATAATAAAAATATGCTGATGGATATTTTGTATCCATGCAATTTATTCGCAACACTATTTTTGTAACACAATGGTTATACAAAACAATCCCTAAATTTGAATCTTGGGATCCTATAATTGGAACTAACAATAACACCTAAGCACCGCAACTATAAGAGTAACATATTAATTGGGCTTTGTCCAAAGTTTCATAGAGATCTTAAAGTTGTATAAAGATGTAATATAAAGATGTAATTTGTATCCGGTATTAACTAAACTTATTGTTATATATAACCAACTAGGTGTGAGACTCGTATACTATACGGGTTGATTAAAACATTAAACATTTTAAAGTAAAATTTCTAAATAAATACGATCGAAATCATGAATAAGTACTTTAATACTTGCAAATTGAAATTAATCAGGATAAAGTGAAGGAATTAAGTTGTTCTCACGATCAAGCTAAATGAAAACTCCACCACCATAAGTTATTAGCTTGGTGTACTGTAAGGTTGACAAAGTAAAAATAACCTAGAAACTTTAAAATGAAAGTGAGATGCTATGATGGGTTAAAAATGAAAGTAGGCTGGTATTATGGGTTAAAATGAAAATACGTTGATATGATGGGTTAAAAGTGAAAGTATGTTGCCATTATGGTTAAAAACAAAATGACGATGCTAAAAAAAATCTAGATAAAACAAAGAAAGATACACATTTCCCATAATATTTAGTTGGTTTACATAATTTAAAAAAAAAAAAAAGATACATTTGATATAAATGGATATCTTCAAATCTTTCATTCCGTTTAGGAACAAAGATCAATATAACTTGATAACAATATTCAAAAGCAAATGAAAATATAATCGGTTTGTCCCGAACAATTGAAAATATGGAATTCGAGCTACCTCCAGATTCAGAATTATTAAATTAGTTTTAATGCTTCTCAAAGTTGGTACCATCCATAAACATCATTTTTCCGAGCACATGTAAAAGAAACATTTAATCTGATTAGTAAAGACTAAATCCAACTATCTGAAACTACCATAACTGGTAATGATGTAAGTAAATGTTTTGATAAAATGAAACTGGGATGAGAATTGCAATTGTGAGCCCGAATAACCATTGGAAGACAAATGGTTGCACCACACATAGCACTGATGAGCCTTTGCCTCTCCTCCGTCTCACCAACTGTGAGGATAACTGAGAATATACCATGTTTCCGATGAGCAAACAAAAGGAGATGGTCACCGGCAAGGAAATAGTTTATATATTTAATTATTTTTTACACTTACATTTCATGTAAAATGGTGAACTTTGCTCCACCACATCATAAACCAATGGTGGAAAGGCTAAAAATACATGAGAACATC